TATAGTTGTGTGGATTCGGCCCAGCATTTGGTTTGATGGTTTCTTCCTTAACGGGTAAGGAATTCTACAATCGTATTCGAGTGGGGTCTTATTTCTTCCTCCATTTTTTTGACTTTAAAGTAACTGATGCTACATTTGAATTTATACTACACTGCATAGAAATATAAAATTTATGCATTGAACCAGTTAATTCGATCAGTGGTAGAATCAAATTAGTTAAAATTAAATTATCTTTTTCGACCGTTAATTGTACTTATTTTTCTTTTTTAAAAATCAACTAAACCGAACTAAATTTAGTTAAATTTGTCAGTTTTTGAATTAACTAAAATTTGTTATAAGTTTATGAATTAGCTAAAAACCGGTATTGTGATTGTTATAAGTTTTTGAATCAAATCATAAATTGAAATAAAAAATTATATTAAAAGCCTGACTTCTCTAAATAATGATCTTTAATATTGTGATTGTTATGATTTTGGATGAACGATATTATAGCTCATTAAATTATGTTAAAATAATTTTTAATATCTTTGTGGTCTTTGGGTTTGATTTTGATTCTTCTAAGAATAACAATCACCCCTTTAATCATTGAGATAAATTGATTCGTGTTTATTATTTTAACATAATTTAATAATATTTAATATATTTTATTGTATGATCATATATATAACTTTTAAAATGGAAACAATGTCTCCAAGCGTCTTTCTTTAGGGTCAAGTATGTTTTATATGCCCACCAAAGGGACAAGGGGCGTAAATAGTACAATGTCCACATTCTATTTACATGGACCTTTCAGCGTTTATCATTTGAGCATTACCCACCGTTCAATTTACGGTACTTGACCCAAAAGTTATAACTTGATTTTATAAGATCTAAGTTTTTTAATGAAAATTTGAATTTAATGAACTAGTTCATATTTGAGTTTAAGATAAAAAATATTAAATTTAATTCGAGAATAATAATATAATTGATTTTTATGTATTAGAGATAATTGTTATACTATTCCTCTATATAATAAAAATGAGAAATTTTATATCATGTGTCAAGTTGGATCGGGTCAATTTTCATATTGAGTGAAATTTATATAAATTTGGGTCAAATCAAATGACAGAGGAAGATGCATTATACTCAAAATAAATTTGAATGGGTCAAAAAACCAATGTGACCTTACCCACGATCATCTCTAGTCATATACATGTATACAAGACAAACACAAATTTAATGTTAGAATAAAATTTTAGAAGAGTGAAAATAAATTAAAAAATAAAAATATAAAATATACTAAAATTTAAATTTTCAAGAGAAAATTTCCCTTTCATCCTCCTATATTAGGATGTATTTTGTTCAAGATAGCAAAGCAAAGTGGTAAGCCCCAAGTGGATGGTGATGTGTCCTAATGCAACCACAAAGAAGAGGAATGCTGAATGCCACATGAACGGGGACATACATGCCGAAAAGAAAGAGTAAAAGCAAAATTAGCTTCCACCCAACACCTGTCCTTATTTACCAAATATTATTTCTATGTCACATCATCATTCACATTATCTATTAGCATTATGAATTATTACGATAATATCATTAACAGTTACATCAATACAATAATGATCAATGTTAATTAAGAAATCAAATTGATATAATTTATAAGTTTGAGAGTTAAATTACTCACATATAAATTGTTCTGTCAACATCATAAACTATCACGTCCATTAATACAATAATAATTAATATTAATTAAAAAAAACTATAAGTCTGAAAGTTAAATTAAATGCGTTTTCCGTCGAAAAACTAAATTAATTATTTAGTACAATTTATGTATAAATACTGGTTTAGCCTGTACCTTTTTCTATTTGTGAAGATTATTACATAAATTACGTTAAATATATCAGCTATTCTGCAGTGTATAAAAGGACATTGTTTCTCTTGTATGCCGTGTGGCTTGGGTGTGATCGAGGCCGGAGCCACACAGTTGGCATGAGGGGTTATTTTATGTTTTATTGTTTTCTATTTTTTTTAAATAAGGGCATAAAACATTATAACTATTAACTCCTAAACATTCTTTACAAAGTATCGGCTCTACAGCCACCAGGATGTTGAGAAACTTTGACCCCCAAAATATCGATGTGGCCTATCTTCGTAATAAAATCAGTCACTCTATTCTTTGTTCGATCAACCAAAGAAAACGAGACTAGTCATTGTTTGTTTAGCAGCTCTTGGATGTGTTGTAAAATGGTTGATGAAACTGATTTCGGCACAACTTGATTTAAATTCCGGAAGACTTCTCTATTAAATATTATCGACTTCGAGTATGACGCGACACGCTCCCATATTTCATGCATGTTTTAAACCTTCCAATACCCCATAATTACTTCTTTAAAGTATTGAAAAATAAATAAATTCAATTTTGGTCTCTTTCAATATTTTGGTTCAATTTCGTTTTGAGTCCTCTATAATTTCGAAACTATGTAAATTAACCCTTAGATCTATTGGTTAAATCACTTTTTAAGTCCCTCTTAGTTATGAAATAACGCAAATTAAGCCCCAAACAGCAATTTTTACGGTTTAAACACTTTTTTATTACTTTTCATTTTAAAATTAAGCAAATTGGACCCAAACTCACTATTTTTAGATCATAGACAATTAGATATAAACCTTTATTTATTATTGTTTTTATATTCGAGGACTTTAATTTTATCCTGCTTCCGTCCCCTAATGTGAAGAAGAATTATGCCTACTTATTAAAATAGGTCACCAACCAGACTTTTATACCCAAAAAATCACAAAAAAAATTATTTAAAATAATTTTTTTAAACAAAAATTAAACCAAAGTTCAATTTTAGAAGGTATTCATATGTGTCCCACAAATCCAAGTAAATCAGGATTACCCACCGTACAAGGAGTGTTGGATGGTGACATTGTAGAGGTCGTCCTGCTGCATGTATCATATATCTTCTAAGTCGGCTGTTTCTCATGTGAAATGAAATCGCAGAGATTTGGCAGTTTAATTAAGCGCTTAAAATTTAATTACTTGTCTAATCCAACAGCCAGTAAACCATTTGTTTTGAGTTGTTTATCAAACTTAGACCCTAAGAAAATAATCGGCAGGAATTAATCCGACCAATCACGTTTAGCTGCTAAATAGTTCAAAGGTTCTTTCTGGTCGTTGACAGCGAGACAAGAAAAATGTCTTAATCTTAATTAATATTAGCTAGAACCTGCTTGATTTTTGAGGATTCCATTACATGCAAATCTTTTCATGTCGATGATTTTTAAGAAAAGATTATCCCACGTACGACCAGATTTTAATTATAATAAACCTAAATTATTAGACTCCAAAGCCCAACCTAAAATTAAAATCTCAAAGATTACGAAATCTCGTTATTACCATTAAATCGAACCGTCGTCATAATTTATGATTCCAAATAGATGCTGGGAGGGGGATGTAATATTCCAGTCTTCCTTTATACATATACCTTATATGATGTATGGTCATTTCTAATTAGGGCAAGCAAGGGACCTTTTGCATTCATAAAGCAAGATGGTGACTAAGATATGCTAAGAATAAATTAACATATAATTTTGAACATACATAATTTAGATTTTAGATATCTTTAAACGATTTATTGATTTATTTATGTTTAAAATTTTTCCAAGAAAAACTTTATTAGATCTTTTACATTTTACTACCGATTTGTGACATTATCGTATGATTCGTCTCCATCTTTTTAACCCTAAATCTTATATCATTAAAGATATATTTTTAAAATATATAAGGGGTGTGGGTAGGGATGGGCATGGGACCAGAACTCAACAGGTCATTTTTTTTTTTAAAAAAAATTGGGTTCAGGTTGGGTAGGGTTGAGTTTTTTAAGGGTGATGTTTGGATATGATAGGATTCAGGTTTAGGGTAAAAATTACCCGATCCGACCCGATCTTGGAAAAAATAATTTTACCTTATATATTTAAGAATAACTAAAATAATATCCCTTTATATTTTATTTTTTTCGATTAAATTACTTTTTTTATTGAATAAAAATAATAATTTTATTATTATTTCGGATCCGATCGAATTCAGATTTTATATAAAAAATCAGGTCGGGTTCAAGTCGGATAAATGGTATATATTTTTTCGGATCGAATCGGATGAAGAATATAAAATTTTTAGATCAGATCGAATTGACTGAAACCGGACCCAAACCCGACTCAGCCCAGGGTGTGTGTATAAAATACAAGATGGAGAAAAGCAATAGGTTTGGGAGTATTCAAATGTGCTCCCCAATGAGCAAGCAGCAGTCCAAAAGTAATAAAAAAATTATAGGATTTAGACGTGGACCAATAGGAAGTTAACACCTGCTTCCTGTAACAAAATAGGGTTTTACGCCAACGCACGAGAGCAAAGCACTCTGTCTTCGGTCCCGAACCAAAAAATATGCCGAAATTAAACCGGATTCCTTTCCTCAGTCACCCAACCAAGCCACTCTTGGCTATATCTAAATTTGGCCAACAATGAACTAAAGTCAATTTGTTTTCATTAACAAATAGATATCTCAAAGATAAAATGTATTGTTGATCCTCTCAACTCTATAAAACCTAGTGATTGCTCTTAAGAGACTCTCGAGACATTATAATTTTAAATTAAACTCCAACAAAGTTTGAATAAGTAAATTCTTTAGCTACAAACTATACTTGGCTTGTCCTTTTAGCTACAATTTGTTTATACCCACGAGGGGACGCGCGCGCGTGAACACCACCCAAAAATATCTAAACCATCGGGATCAAAAAAGGATGATAAAACCGGAGCAACGTGGGTCACCCAGCTCGTTACCCAAAGGAAATATCAAACCCGTCCTGATTTTTAGCCACGACATCTCCCTTTTCCGTCACTGTAAATTAGTCAATGCCTTGCTTTATATACTACGGTTCTACCCCCAAGAAAAAGGATAGAAAAAAAAAACCAGACCCTTCACTCATTCTCTCTCTGGTCTCTGTGGCAGAGAATCAAAAGAGTTTAGTTTTCTGTGTTTTTGATAAAATGGAGGCCAACAATAATCCTAATATAGTCGTGCCATTCGTCGCTAAAACTTATCAGATGGTCAATGATCCGATGACTCATGGTTTGATCACTTGGGGTAAAGCTAATAATAGTTTCATAGTCGTTGACCCTTTGGATTTCTCTCAAAGGATCTTGCCTGTTTACTTCAAGCACAACAATTTCTCTAGCTTCGTTCGCCAGCTTAATACTTATGTAAGTCGATATATAATTAACCTATATATATGAACTTGTTTTATCTTTTACCGACGGTTTTCATGTTCTTGCGTTGTTTGTTTGTGTTTAGGGTTTCAAGAAGGTGGATCCGGATAAGTGGGAATTCGCCAACGAATGGTTTCTGAGAGGGCAAAAGCATTTGTTGAAGAACATAGGGAGGAGGAAGCATAATAAGAGTTCTTACATGCAAGTGAAGGCCGAGGAATTAGACGACGAAGAAATAGTGATGGAAATAGCGCGGCTAAAAGAGGAGCAAAATTCGTTGGAACAAGAGCTGCAAGAGATGAACAAGCGTTTGGAAGCCACCGAGAGACAGCCGCAACAAATGATGGCGTTCCTCCACAAAGTCGTCGAAGACCCCGATTTGCTTCCCCGTATGATTCTCGAGAAGGAACGGACGCGGCAGCTCAACGCCGACAAGAAGAGGCGGTTGATGATGATGAAGCCGAACGTCTCTTGTAACAATTCGGTGAAATCCGAAGAGGAAGAAGATGGTCTTCCGGGAGTCATTTCGTCCCCGAAAATTGGGTTCTGTGGCTCGAGTTATCAATCATCGCCTTCGCGGGGTCAGGACTCGAAAGAATTATTGGGACAAAATATACAACAGATGAACTATAGTTGCGCCACGGTAACAAGCCAATTGCCGGCGGTGATGATGACTCCGACGATGATTGGAAACAGCATGGCGGTGAACTCGCCGTCCACGAATAGCGTAGCGGGCTATGGCTATAGGAACGGGCAAGTGGGTTATTTAGGAGAAATGGCGGCGGCATGGATGGAGGCGCGTCCACGACCGCCTTATCCATTTTCACTATTAGAGGGTGGCTTTTAGTTAGTTCCGTCACATGATTTATCTTGGATTTTTTCTTATAGTATGATGATTTTGTTTTTAGTTTTAGATTTTGCGTTTCTATTTTACTTTATTTTTGCTTTGTATAAAAAAAAAATTAATTACAAGGTTAATGAAAAGCTTATTTTATCAAAGAAATTGTTAATAAAATAATAAAACTATGTATAATTTTGAATTAGACTTAATTTTAATATTATCATCAATACATTATATAAAATATAAAAATTAAATATACTTAAACATAGAGATATTTGAATAATATAGGTTATATGCTTAAACTAATTAATATGATTAATATATTTTATTTTTGGTGTACAGTTCATCAAACTTTTTTACTTAAATATATCAATTTAAATTTTTTATTTATTTTAATACTCATTTCAAATTATTTCTCAGTTTTGCATCTTTTTGTGTTATAACTCTTTTTAAGTTGAGTTGAAGTGAAAGAAAAGAAATAGGAACCAAAATTATGATAGAAAATTATATAAATTTTATAAAAAAAATAAACATTTTCATTGCGTGTTGAAAATACGTAATTGCACGAGCACAAGCACGAATCGAACCGAGCAACATTAACGATACACGTATATTAGCTCATATTGTTTAGATATATATTTTTTCTTACTTTTTTTAAACAATTCATACTTAAAGGACTTTTAATCACATGTTCTATAGATTATGGGCATATATATGGATTTTCAAGTGCTTAAATATAACATTTTAAATATGTATCTATTGAGCGATTGAAATAAGACTAATACATGTGTGTCGTCGTTGTCATACGACTCGTGCGTTGTCACCATCACACGACTCGTGCTCTTGCAATTGTGTGTCTTTGATACGCATCACACGCATTTGTTATTTTTAGACAAAATTCATATACTTTTTCCATATTTTTACTTATATTTTCCTTTTTCTTATTTCAACCTAAATTTAGTAAATTTTAACTATTTTATGTCGCATAAACAAAAGACCTCTTTTTACGAAAAACTTTTTTTTAAAAAAAACGCTTCTCATAGAAAGTAATTTACGTAGAAAAACTTTTTTCTTACGTGGAATGAAAAGTTGTTAAATTAAAAAATAATTTGCAATAGGTGTTAGAATGATAAATTATTTTTAAATAAAATATAATTTGTAATTAGTCGATCCCTCACGATTGTCCCTTACTATTCCAGCATCAAGCTCTATGCGCGTGGTATAAACGAGCGATGGAATGGTTCGTCGTCTCCTTCTCCACTAATCACATGGCCCATGTGAAAGTAAATGCAAAAGCTTCAACTAATTAATTAATTAAGATTAATTGACTTTTCTTAATCAGTGCAAAGTCAAACAAAACCCGCCAATAAAAGAAAATACTTATTCAATATGATAATATATAGTAATATGTTTTAATTAAAATATTATTAAAAACAATTCATTTTATCATTTAAATAATAAATAATTCATTTTTAAGTTATAAATATAATATTATTAAAAACAAGTCATTTTATCATTAAATTTTGGGTAAACTACGGGAATGGGATCTTACATTTCATATTTGTAAATTTTTGCTCCTCAAATTTAGAAAAGATAAGTTTTAGTTACTCATTATTGTTTTATAATGTTTTGGCCGTTATGTGTCGTTAGTTTGATAAATGATAAGTTAGTAAAAGGGTTTAATTTTTGTTTTAACCCTTGAACTTTTGATAAAATACTAATATGGGTCTTTTTGTAAACTCAAAGTAATTTATGGACAACTTATCAATTGACCCCTTACTCTTGGTCTTCTTCTTCACCAACAAGTCTTCGTTGAAACCCTGAATGCTGCAGGTTTGTTCCATCTCAGCTTTGCAACTGCACACGATTTCCTACGAGCTGTGTTGTTGGTGCTCGGTGCTGAGAAGGCCGAACTGATCTTCATCGTCGACCATTGATGGGTAGTCTTCACGAGCAGCTGAAAAAATGGAGGTCGAAGAATCCATCCCTGGCACCAAGAGTAAGGGATAAATTGATAATTTGTCCTTAAATGACTTTGAGTTTAACAAAAGGGTGATATTAGTATTTTATCTAAAATTTAGGAATTAAGATAAAAATTAAACCCTTTTTAAGTTTTATGATAAAATTAATAGACTGTATAAGTTTTGATGATTGAAAATGTTATTATAACATGTCATATTAGACGTACGTTTCAATTCTAACAACATAACAACACAATTGAAATAATATTTTAATTGAGTAATATGTTTATAATTTTAAATCAAATTAAAAACTATTTTAAATCTTTAAAAATGGTGTATGAAGAATTTTGAATTTCATAATACTTTTTTAGTTCAACATCAACTGAGGATTTTGCGATGGTGTTAGATATTTGGATTAAGATATAGTGGCACTTATAACAGTCTATACAAGGCTGGCTGGCCCTTGTTCCCATGTGTAATGGGGTAAGGGGGAGGTAAGATAGTAGACTGCCCCCAACACCAGGATGAGAACAGCTTCCGTAGGAGACCTCCGAATTATGAAATGCCCTCTGAGTCCCACGACCTCAAGGTTAAGAACCTTGTGCTCTACCAACTGAGCTAGATAGTCATCAATATAGTGGGTTCAGCTTTGTCTAATGTTTTAAGACAATATCATTAGTGTTATGATAATCAATAAATCAGATCGGTCAAATACGGATTTTTATTTCAAAAATTAATTCAAATTTTAGTTGAATTAATTATTTTAAATTAAAGTCAGATCAGATAAAAATAGAAAAAAAAAATTTAAATCAAACCACTCCAACCAACCGATACTACCGTTCCTTTCGGTATAAAATTACAAAACTAGAATGACGACAGAATAACCTGAGGGGTGGATCACGTGGGACCCAATTTCCTTTCGGGTATGATAGAATAAGGAACGTGGGTCCCATCGTTTTGTCAATAATAGGAAGGGAGTGGGCCCCATTCGCCTCTCAAGAGTCAAGACTCTTTATTTTTTTCTTTATTTGGGAGAGAGAAAGAGAGAGAGACAGGTGAGGGAGTGTGTTGTGGGAGGTAGGGATGGAAAAAAAATTCGAATTCGACAGAAAAATCGAATTAAATGATGGGGAAAAATTGTTTATGTTAAACGGGAACGGGAAAAATCATTTATGTTAAACGGGGACGGGGACGGATTTAGTAATCTCCGTCCTAATTACCCGATTACTCGTCCCAATACCTGGCCCGATAAATATTAAAAATAATTATTATATATATATATATAATATTAATAAATTTAATTTAAATTTTAAAATATATATAATATTTATATATATAATTTAAATATATATACCGACCCGATACCCGGCCCGATACCTGTTTAAATAACCATTTCTGCTAAACGGGGATACCCGTTTCCTCGTGGTTTTTCCCGATTACCCAATGGGGATCCCCGTTTAAATCCCGTGGTTTTTTAAGCGGGGACGAGTACGGGTTTTTTAAACGGTAACAAGGACGGGGGGACCAATACCCGGTCCGAACCCGGCCCGTTGTCATCCCTAATTGGAGGGATAAAATAAGAATCACACATTTAGGTTTAATTGCGGTTTTAGACATAATATTTTATGTTTCAGAGGTTGTGGTTTGAGAAATCCCACCTGCGCGTGTTATTACTAATTCAAAAATATTCTCAATATATATTATCATAATAATCACTCCATATTTTTTAAAAATATTTAAAATATTATTGTTGATGAACAAACGAAATATGTTTTATTTTCATGACGAAAACTAAACTTTTGATCTAATAATTAATAGAAGAAGTGAACAATCGTCACACCGACATCTCATGATTAAAAGAATTTTGATTTAATCGATTGCTTTTTCTACATTTCGATGTGCCATTTGACATGCAATGTACTTTCTACACACGTAGGATTATGAAATTTAAAAGTAATTGACAATTGAAAAGAATATTATATTTTTGTCACTTAATTTTCCAATAATTTTTTAGTTTGATCATTTGATTTTAAAAAATTTAAAATTTGGTCACTGATTTTATGTTTCATTTGAAAATATAAATTTGTGTATCATTCTTTATGTAGATGATAACAATAAAATGAACACTAAAGATAAATAGTTATGATTTACTCGCGCACAAACAAAAGTAATATTTAAATGATTCACTCTCGTTATCTATATCTAAGGATGAGAAAAAAAAAATCTTACTATAAACATAGAGATTATAAATTATTCAAAACATTAAACCGTAACCTCGAAATAAACATTAAAAATAAATACATATATATATATATATAAAGCATATTACTTTATCACGAAGAACTCTTATTCTATAAAATTTATTGATAACATAAAATATTTATTTATTATATAAATTTAATCACTAAATACCAGAATTTAACCTAATTGTTAATTAAAATTGGGTTAATTTCTGAATATGTCCACCTTAGCCAATTTGGGTGTCGAGACTTTTCTTAAGAGCCGAAATTCTGGTTTATTCGTTTTCCCTGGAAACCCATCCGGTTTCCTTCGTGAGCCCAATTTTAGCAGCGAGCCGGCCCCAACTCTTAGCTTTAAAATTTGTAAATCAAATACACATGAATATTAAGAAAATAATTATGGTGTGTGTAATTAGGGCAGTGACATGGCCTTTTCCGATGGACTGAGAGGATGGTCGCCCCCCTAAAAAATTTAAATTCTTATATATTTTGTATTTTTTTATTGAAAATATATTTTTGTCTCAACCTAAAATTTTATAAGTAATTCCTCCTTAAAATTTTATAAATTCGCCCCTCCCAAATATACAATTATGCGTATGTCCTTGCCTCATCCCATGTTTTTCATTAGATGAAATGTTTGAACATTTTTGCAAAGATGGAATCTTTGATAGACCTCAAGGAAATAATGTGGGTAAATTAATTTATTTTATTTGCATTTCCATTTTCTATTTAAACCTATCTCCATTTGCATAACTAATGATTCCCCATTTCTAACAAAGTAGTAATGGAAGAAGAAAGAATAAAACATTGTTCATATATAGTACCTCAATGCTCCCTTGGTGTAGGAATATGAATTATGAAATAATGTTAT